AAGAGAAACCATGATGCTGCAGGTCGGCACTTTCTCCAGGTCTCAGCCCCAAAGCATCTTCCTGCTGGCAGGTCCCTGGGCAGGGTGAGGCGGAAGGGCGGTGCCTGGCCTCTGTGGCTCCAAAGAGCAGGCTTGTGGTGGGCTTGTACACCTTGGGTGAGTCTCATTACCTCCTGGAGTTTCAATATCTTCATCTGTAAAGCAGGAATGTTAATATTTATTCCATCCAGTTATTGGAAGTTTAATAATAATAATAATGACATCACCAGAATTTAATGAATTTACCATGCACAAAGAATTGTGCTATGTGTTTATATGCACATTTAATCACCATAAAAAGTAGATTTAACTGTCTTCCATCTTATAAATGGAAAAAACTGGGGCCTAAAGAGGTTAAAAGACTTGCCAAGGTAGGGTAACAAATTGACCTGGTTTGCCCAGGACTGAAAGTCTCACATTCTGGACAATTCCTTAGCCACAGGAAACCTGGGATAGTTGGTCAGCTAGAAAATCATAGAATTAGCAAGTGGTGGAGCCGGTACATATTTGAGGTAGAAGAGTATTTGTTAAAATTGTTAATAAAAGCACAACCAACAATTATTATTGATATATACAGCATTATGTAGTATGTGTATATTAATATTTGTGTATATAGAAGATGCATCATATTGATATAATAATACTAATATTTAGATTGACTTCCATTTCAATACTAACCAAGTGCTTCTAGCCTTCTGAGAAAACCCTTTTCCGTTAATAATGCTCATCTGACATTAGCGCTACTCAACAGTATTTGTAGTTTTCTTCTTCCTTCTGTGCCCAGAACCTTTGATGTCAGGCATGACCAGGTGACTTGTTTTGACCAGTGAAACGTGAGTGAAAGAGATGTGCACCACTTCGGGGCCAAAACGCCTAAGACCCAAGGAGCAATGCTCCATCTTCCTTGCAGGGACACTGACGGCGCCTCTCCCCGTCCTTTTTGCTGGCTGGTATACTCACGCCTGCACTGCTGTGAGGGGTGGGGTGCGAACAGCCCAGCTTCTCCTAATCTTAATGTCTTAAATTATCGTGGGACATTTGTCAAAACTAAGAAATTAATTTAGAAATTACTACTAACTGAACCCCAGACTTTATTCAAATTTCACCAATTTTTCCGCTAATGTCCTTTGTCTGTTCCAGTATCCAGTCCAGGGGCTACTGAATTTTAAGTGGAAAAAAAGCCTAGGGGAGACCGGGCGCGGTGGCTCACACCTGTAATCCTAGCACTTTGGGAGGCCGAAATGGGCAGATTGCTCGAGGTCAGGAGTTTGAAACCAGCCTGAGCAAGAGGGAGACCCCGTCTCTACTATAAATAGAAAGAAATTAATTGGCCAACTAATATATAGAAAAAATTAGCTGGGCATGGTGGTGCATGCCTGTAGTCCCAGCTACTCGGGAGGCTGAGGCAGGAGGATCGCTTGAGCCCAGGAGTTTGAGGTTGCTGTGAGCTAGGCTGACGCCACGACACTCACTCTAGCCTGGACAACAAAGCGAGACTCTGTCTCAAAAAAAAAAAAAAGCCTAGGTGATAATGTAAAAGTTTGTTTGCTAATGGAATAATTTGATATTAAAGTAGTATAATTGTAGGCGGTATTTTCCCCTATGTTCAAAACGTTAACACTCTTGTGACATTAACTATTGGGGAAAGGTTATCATAGAAAGGCTCCTGTCTGGCTGGCGTCGTCCGACTCAAATGAGGGTGTGATTGGGAAGGTCCTCAAGTTATCTGCGGGACCCAGCAGTGAGGGAGAAGCATGCACGTGTGTATGTTGAGGGGAGGCAGGTGATCCCCTGCCCACCACTGTCACCGAGGAGAGAACAGGAAGGGGCAGGGGCAGGGCGTACCTAAATTCTGCCTTGTGGGTCTATAATCAATCCAGTGGTTGGTAAATCCAGAAATGACTTCAAGGACTTTTTTTTTTCCAAATTTGAGCTTCTGTGATTCTTAGAACAAAGATTTATTAAGTATCTATGGTGTGCCAGGCCCTCTGCTGGCTGCCTTTTGAGTGCTGTCTCCTGAAACCCTCAAACTAAGGTGTCCATATTTCCATTTTAAAGAGAGAGAGAGAGAGAGAGAGAGAGAGAGAGAGAGAGAGAGAGAGAGAGAGAGAGAGAGATCAGAGCATCTAAGCGACGTGCCCAAGAACACACAGCTTATCAATAACACAGCAAGGATTAATACCCAGTTTGTTCTGACTCTATTGTTCTTTTATGCCCCAAATTGTACTTCTTTGACATCTCCTCAAAAAAAAAAGTCTCTTTGGTATTTGACATATCAAAGGGAGGCCTTAACGTTCTGCTGGGCATTTGGCTAAGGGGCCTGAAGAGATACCTAGGGAGGGAATAAAAATAAGATGATTTCTTCTGGATAGACTTCTTGACAATGGTAATAAAAAAAAAGAAAGAAAAAAGAAATAAGATGATTTCAGGAGGCACAGTGGAGTTTTGTGTGTGGGTATTTGTTCACAGGGTTTTTGGGGGTGAACCATTTGCCTGAAGTAGAGATTTCAGTCTCTCCTCCCTCTTTCCCTCAGTTAGGCAATAATAAAGAATCTTGGGTCAGCTCTTGGGTAAAACCAGCATTTTAAAGGTTTTGGAGAGGGGCCAGCATTTGTGTGAATGAGCAGGGCCCAGGCAGCCTCCAGATCTGTCCAGGGGTTCCCTTGGGACTGGCCAAGTTGAGTTTCCTAGACCAGATGCTTGGGAAACCTCCAACTTGGCTTTGGAGATTCACACATGCACACCAAAACAAAATAAATAAAGTGGAATAAAAAAGTTAGAGGCACCCCAGCGTGCCCTATTTACAAACTGCTTTAGTTCCTTCCGGGTTTTATTTGATTTTCTCCTTCACTGAGAAATGGGGAGACATCAGAGTGACTTATGTGCCAAAGGAAGGGCTCCCGACCACCCTTCAGCCTCCCTCACCCCCTCCATCCCTTTTCGTGTGACAGGATGCCCTCAATTACTCTCTCTGGAGGGGTCCCAGTCAGAAAGAAGATGGAGCCAACCATCTGTTCCGACTCCAGTGAGCAATTTAATTTCCTCTTGTTCCCAACCAGGAGGACTTCATAAGTACATAAATTACCACCAGTCCTGGTTAATCAGGAACTGGCCATCTGAAGGGGCGGAGACGGTCAAGCCAGAGACACCCACTGACCCGGCCTCCCAGGAGGGCACCCTGCACATTGGTGGAAAAGCACATGAGACAAGCGAAGAATGTCAGGCAGAGAAACTTCCTTGGAGAGCCTCCAATCGGACTCCTCTTTTATAAATGAAGGAATCAGGGCCAGAGAGGGAAAGTGATCTGTCTAGCCAGGCAGGGCAGGGTTGGGACTTGAATCAACAAGCCCCGATTCCCAACTCTTTCCAACACCACATGAGGTAGGATGAACGACTTGACTACCTGCCCTTGGGTTTAATCTCTAGCGGTGGGACCAGAAAACAGTAGTCATGATGACAACGACAACCACAACAAGAGCTACACTTTATGGGGCCAGCACTGTAGGAGAGACATTACAATGTGGGGTGAATAGAGTGGGCTCTGGAGCCAGGCTGCCTGGGTTCAAATCCCAGTTCTGGCGCTTAGCTTAATAGCTGTGAGACCAGAGGGCAAGTTCCTTAACCTCTGGGACCTGTAGCAGACATCATCAGTGCTTGGCACCTACTTCAGATCCCCTTAGTGTTTGCCTATGATCCAGCCCAACTCTCTGTGGTCAGCACTGCATCTTTGTTGGAAGGCTGCTCTTGAGCCTCTAGAAGCCACCTTGTCATCGTGCATTGCAGGCCCCGAGTCTCCTGTGGGCAGCCTTTAACCAACAACTGACAGGTGGGGGGTATAAATGTCCCAGGTCCCTCCCTGCTTGACTGAGATAATTCCAAGGCATGTGTTCTGCACCATTTTCCAGAGTTCCCCTGCAAGATTAAGCACTAGTTACCCATCGTAGTAGCTGGCTTAATAATGTTGTCATTGGCTGCCTTCTCCTTTCCTGATGTTAGCTGTGCTCTTTGCACCTCTCCATAAACTATTTGCACTCAGGTTCTTGCCTCAGGACACGCCTCTGATTGGTTAATCTAAGGTAAGACAATGTCTCAGTTCTTTCATTTGTAAAGTGGTGATAATGATAGTTTCTGTACCAAAGAGTTGTTGTTAGGGTTAAATGGGCCAAAATTGCAAAGAATAATGCCTGACTCTTAGTGAGAATTCAACAAATATTAGCTATGTGCCTCATAAATACTTATCTCATGAAGTCCATGCTGTACACACTATTACTCCCATAAGATCATCCAAGGTCAGAGAGGTTAAATAATTTTTCCAAAGTCATGTGGTTTAATAAGGAATAACATCAAGATCCAAACACAGATCCATCTTCAAAGTTCCTTTCATTTTTGCCTTTTCCAGAAGGTTTTCCTCAGTGCTCCCGGTCTGGGTCAAGGCTGCCTGCTCTTGTGCTCCCCTGACCCCATCACAGCATTTGTTCCAGTGTGATAATACGGCCCTCCTGTGTGCTGCACTTTTCCTTTAGGTTGCCACCTAGGCATCTCTGGAAGCTCAGTGTCTAGCCTGGTGCCCAGCACATAGTAGGCTTCTTATGGTTGCTGAATAAATGAGAACATAACCCAAGCAGTAGTGAACAAGCCAGGGAGGTTGGCCAAGGGCAAAGCCCAGTGTGAAAGTCTGTCTCATGGGCTTCAGATTTTACTGGAAGCATTTTGGAAATCTTTCCAGGAAATACTCTTCTCCTCCCATTCCTACTGCAGAGAACATTTGTAAATGTCTTTGACGGGCATCTTGGGGGTTCCAAAATTTCATCAGGGTGTCTAGCCTTCCCTAAAATCTTCTCGGGAAGGCAAGGCTCTCCCAGGTTACCTGTTAGAGCTGCGGGAATCTAAGCACAGTAATTGCTCCATTGTGAAGTCATGCTGGAGTGGCAGAAGCTTCCAAGCACTGTTAAGAAATATGAGAAAAAGCAGGTAGGAGACGGAAAGTGGGCTAATGAGGCTTGAAAAGCGGGTATCTTCTAATGAGAGTGATAAGTATAGTCACCCCCAGCTCTTTTGTGTGCCTGTGCTGTGGATTGGCCTCAACAGACCCAAGAATCCAGGTTCTGAAGTCAGCATTGCCGGAATTTGAATCTTGCTCTGTCACTTACTAGCTGTGTGATCCTGGGAGAATTATCTAGTCTCTCTGTGCCTCAGTTGCGTTATTTGTAAAGTGGGGATAACACCCACCTTCCTCACTGGATTGTTATAAATAAATAGTGTGTACAGTGCTTGGGACAGTGGTCTACCACCTAGTAGGCAAGCAGGCAATTGCTGGTTTCCACTAGACATCGCATAAGACTTAAAGGAATAAGAGTGGACTGAGGCTAGAGTTAAGGTCACTAAACTCTTTTGATTACTTATACCATCTACAATGGAAAGTTTGGGCATGTTCCCCTAATAAATGTTCATTTATTGAAGGGAAGTGAATGATAAACCTAAGATGAAGATGCTGGGAGGATAGAGAAGGAGTGTGTAGCCCAGTCCTGGTCAGGGCAGTAAGCAGTGGCAGTCGGGAAAGGCTTCCTGGAGGAGGCAATACTTGAAGTGAGCCTTGTGGGATACATCAGAGTTAACCGAGTAGAGAAGGTGGGAGACGGCTTTCCAGACAGAGGAAATATCCTTGGCCAAAGATGATAAATGGGTGGTGAAAAGTCAGTTTGAGAAATGTTGAAGAGTACAGTGAGATGGGCTACAGTGACTGGCTGGGCCTTGGTCACATGTTCACCCAGCTCAGCACTGCCATTCATAGGGCCTCCAGAGTCACCTGGCCTGAGGGGGCAGTGCTACTCCTCAAAGAGAGTGCAGGGGAGGGGCTGGGCACACACTTCTGTCTTTGTCAACACCGCACCCCCCACAAATACTCACAGGTAGTGCCTACTATGTATGCATCAGCCACTATGCTAGGTAATGAGGGATATGAAAACAAACTGTAAGTCCCTGCTTACATTAGAGCTTTCACTGTAATGGGGGAAGACAGCAAATAAGCACGTTAATAAAAAGTGTGTCAGGTGGTGATAGTGCTCTGGAGAAAAACAAAGCAGAGTACAGGGGACGAGGGCTGCTAAGGGGACACTGTATGCCACAGGGTGGTCAGAGGCGGCACTTGGAAGGTGGCTCAGCAGGTGCAGGGTGGAGAGCCTCTGCTGTGCTGTCCAAGAGACTGGAACCGAGTCCGCAGCCCAGCCTTCTCCCTCCCCCTCCCGTCCTCACTCCCTCCCTCCCCCCCCTCCCGCCCTCCCTTGCTTCCTTTGCAGTATCTCCCACAATGTCGTCTTTAGGTATCAGAACACCCAGCAGGGGCAGGGTACTTGTCAAAAACCGCAGGTTCCCACGCTTCTCCCCAGACCCACAGATTCCGACTCTCTGGGGTGAGGACCAAGAATCTATTATTAATCAGCTGTCCAGGTGACTCTTAGGGAAATTCAAGTTTGAAAACTACTGAGGCAGTAGAGAGAGAAGACAGGCTCTCGACAGGGAAGAAAGTTGGGCTCATTTGAGTTTTAGAAAGACAGCTCTAAAGGCTACGTGGAGGGTGGGCTGGGGGCCCAGAGACGGAGATAGAACTCGTAGCTGGAGGTGGTGGAACGGCACAGGATGTACAGGCGGCAGGTGGGTAGGAGTTAAGAGGTGACTATTTGAGTGGGGGAGGGGGGTAGAGGGGCTCAAAGCCTTCCTGTGCTCTGACTACGGTGCTTGGGGGTAGTGATGCCATCACCCAACAGGAGCTGTGACCATCCCTGACATGGCATTTCTTTCTTTAAATACTCTATATCCAAGGCATGATTTTAGATATCATTTGATGACATTCAGCAGATGAATAAAAAATCTTTAATAATTTCATTTTTTTCTTCCTCTTCCTAGTGTGTCTTCTTATTTGAGCTTCTGGACCTTTACCAGAAAGGGGTGGGTATTAACTGCTTGTCTTTGTATTCCTGACAGTAGTGATTCATTTGCCAAGGGGAGACCGTTAATGAGTGGCCAGCTTCGTGTCTGTGGTATGCAGTGAGGGACGGAGAAGGATACTGAAGGGCTAAGAGACTCAACAGATTGCAAATACGGTGGCAGAACTTCTGATTATTCCAACTGGGAGTCTTGGGTGAAGTTGGCTGCTCTGTTGGGGGGGATCCCCATTCCCTCACACCTGTACGAAATCCTATAGGATAAGGGATATTTCCATATCACCCCCCACTCTCCCCCAAAACTCCAGTGGATGTGTCCCCAGAATAGCTAGCTAATAATTTGGAGAGAATTATATGAGATAATGCATGTGAAATTCTTGGGTCTCTGTATAATCCATGCATTTTCTCAATGAAGGATCTGGGCAGATATTATTAGTCTCATTCTACACATTCAGAGAAGGAAAGTGACTTTCTTGAGTCACACAGCCAAGATGAAGATCTGGCTTCAAGTCTTGGGGAGTTGGGTTCTAAAATTTATATGTTTTCACCACTGGGCAGGTGAAGGTTGGGCAGGTTGTCAGGACCTCAGTTAAGCAGGCTGGCATTGGGTGGGAGGTGGCTTCTCTTCCAGGGTTGAAGACCGAGCCTAGTTTGAGAAGCTGAAGAAGCAGTCTGATCCCTGCCCAGACTGCAGGTCCTCGGCACATTGGCAACCAAGTCTAAATTCTCTCCTATATTTGTTCAATAACTCAGACATGCTAAGGTTAGCTGTCTTATAAATTATTGAACAGATTAACTGAGTTAGGCCTGAGGCATAAATAACACAGACTCTCCACCCAGTGACAAGACCACAAGGCTGGAGGCAGCAGGAACACAGGAATAGTGACAGAAAAGGGGACCATCTTCCTCCCTTAGCAGGAGGCTGACAGGGAGGAGAAAAGTGGGTGAGAAGGGGGTATAGTGGGAGGAAATTCTAGGAACAGGGAATGACAAAACCAAGGAAACAGGCCCTGGGGATTTGTGGGGGCAGAAGCTTGGGTCACTGGGGGACATGATGACTTGGAGGGCTCTGTGAGAATTGTCTGATGAGTACCGAAATATTGGTTACACCTCACTATTTAGGTATGGGAAAGAGCTCTAGCTGAGGTATTTAATAATGCATAATATGTGAGTGGCAGCTAAGACCATGGGATCAAACAAGGCCATACGGAGTACATAGCATGAAAAGAAAAAGGAGAATTTTGGTGAGGATGGAACACCAGCATTTAGTACATGGAAGAAGGATCAACCAGTTATAGAGACTGACACAGAAAGTTAAAAGCAGGAGAAGACAACGTTCTGCCATAGCTCAATGAGGAACAGAATCCCAAAGAAGAAGAATGTGGCCATTGCCAGAAGTGGGGAAAGAAAATAAGGGAAAGCAGAGAAAAAAACTCCTCTGGCTTCCCTTTCCTCCTGCCCACCAGTCTCCCATGAGATAAATCCAACCAGAAGTCAACCAGCAGGGCATCCCATGTCATGCCACCCCTGGGTCTAGCTCTCACAGATGCAAGTCCTTGTGGTCATCTGTTACTTCCTAGGGACACTGTCAAATTTGACTAAGGCTCCTTCACTGGAAGATTTTGCTGACCTTGAAGGAAGAAATTTCCATAGAGTGGCTGGAGCCAAAGCTAGCTTGCTGGGGCAGGTTGGGGGAGAACGTGGAAACTGTGAAATTAGATTCTTTTTTAAGAAGTTTGACTGAGAAGGAAGCGAGTGAGCTGGAGCATGAAGAGAATGCACTTCGTTTAATTTTCCAAGTGTTACTAATAGCTTTTGGGTGTCAAAGCAACCTCCTAATGTTAGAGTGTTCCAGGCTGGACTTTAGTTATTTCCTCCACCTACACTCACTATATTGGTGACCTCATTCATCCTAATGGCATTAAATACCATCTCTCTGGTGATAAATCCCAAATTTATATCTCCCACTCAGATCTCTCTCCTAAACCTGAGACTCATAGATATTCCAAATTCAATAAGTCAAAAGGAGCCCTTGACTTTTCCTCCTCCTAAATCTGTACCATGTGAAGTCTCCTTCATCTCAGTGGACAGCAACTTCATCCTTTCTTCTTCTCTGCTGTTCTGACATGAAATCATCCCTGGTTTTTCTCTTTCTCTCATATCACAGATCCAGTCCTCAGGAAATATCCAGAATGTTATATAGAATGGTCTATAGCCAGAATGCTACTATTTCTCACCGTCTCCACCTCTATTGATGTATTCCAAGCCATCATCTTGCTTGAATTAGTTCAGTAGCCTCCCATACTAATTCTGCCTTTCCCTGCCACCTAAGGTCTGTTTTCAACATAGCAGCAAGAATGATCCTTTCGAAATACAAGCCAGGCTATATCACTCTTCTTCTCAAAGCCCTACCGTGGACCCTGTTTCACTCAGTCAAAGCCAAAGTCCTTCAGTGGCCTACATGATCTGTGCTCCCATATGTTCCTCTCCGATATCACCTCCTACTACCCTTGCCCACATGCCACTCTGACTTCATTGGCTTCCTTGCTGTTCTTCAAAAACTCCAGGAAGCTCCCACCTGGGGGATTTTTACATTGACTTTCCCTTCTGCTTAGAATGTTCTTCCATGTCCATGTGGTTAACCCTTTGCTGTGGTTGGCTTGAATGTGTACCCCAAAGTTCATGTGTTGCAAAATTAATCCCCAATTCAACAGCATTGAGATGTTAGACCATTTAGGTTATGAGAGCTACGTCCTCAATAATGGATTCATTCTGTACTTGCCAGAATGGGTTAGTTACTGTGGGCATGGGTTTCTGATAAGAGGATGAGTTCAGACCTCTCTCTCTCTCTCTCTCTCTTTCTCTCTCTCTCTCTCATGCATGTTCTCTTGTCCTTTTTCTGTCCACCAAAGGATGATGTAGCCCTAAGGCCCTTGCCAGATGCCAGTGCCATGCTCTTGGATTTCCCAGCTGACAGAAGCATGAGTCAAAAAAATTTCTGCTCATTATAAGTTACCCAGTCTGTGGCATTCAGTTCTTAGCAGCACAAAGTGGACTAAGACACCCATCACTTCCTGAAATTTCTTTTCAAATGTCATCTTCTTAGTGAGGATTACCCTGACCACCATATTTAGAATCACAACCTGTCCACCCTTCCCCTTTCCCGCATGTCTGACCACCTACCCTTCCTCTTATTTACTCATAGGGCTGCTTGTTAAGAGGAGTAGCTGAGACTGCCCGTGTGAAATACCCCCCAAATGTGCAATCCTGCCATGTTTGTGAGAGAAGCCCTGCAGTCTGGCTGGCGCCTGGGTGAGAAAGAAATAGGCGGGGTGTGGGGGGCCCCTCTTGGCTGCCCGAGCTCTGCTTTCTTACACAGCCCACAACCTCATTATCCACACGCAGGAGCACAGGCACTCGCCTCCGGGTACGAGTCAGCTTGCAAAGCGGAGCGCCTGGGAGGCACACAGGACGCCACAGCAGAGCTGGCAGCCAGCAGGAGGGGCCCACCCTCCCTCCCTGATGTCATCACATGGAGGGTACTGAAGGAGGGGGCACGGAGCAGGAACCCAGCCCTGGATCCCCAAGGAAGTCCAATTCATCAACGCCCCTCTGCCTGTGCATGGGGGAGGGGAGCTTAGCGCTCACAGAAGGTGCCCCGCCTCCTCCTGCCTCCAGGAGAACACCCCTGCTATTGCGGCACAGTGTCAGTTCGACTCACATTTGTGCCGGCTGCTGGACGGGGAGACTCCAGTGGTCCTGGGCTTTGGGGAGCTCTTGGTTAGGGCAGGGGGAGGAGTGAGAGCACACAAGGAAATAAGTGCCACCACCAGGCAAGCACAGGCACCACAGCAACACACACAGCCAAGGGACCCCTACTCCAGACCTGGAGGGAAGGCCTGGCAGAAGAGGCAGCTCCTGGTCTGCGTCTGTGCTCACTCATTCAACCAGCGCTTGTGGACAATCAGCCCTGTGTGAGCAGGCGTCGTGTCAGAGGCGGGGATGCAGTCGTGAGTCAGACAAGTTTTCTCTGATTTTAAGGAACCTAGAGTCTAAGAGAAGACAGATAAATAAGTAAACAATGTAAAATTAAAATCTGTTTTTGTTAGAGGCCATGCAGGAAAATAGTAGGAACTTTAGGTGGAGTGTCTAGAAGAAGGTTTCTCCCATCCCAAGAAAGGACGGTTCACAGCAAGAGCTGCAGGGCGCCAAGGAGGCAGCTGTGCAGAGCGTGGGGCTGGAGGGTATCCCAGGCAGAGGCCCGGAGGCAGGGGGAGCCTGAGGAACTGCAGAGAAGGAAGGGCAGCCAGGACGGGGCGTTCTTGGCATTGACATGGTTCTGTGTGTGGAGTCCAGGCCCTTCCACATCTGTTCCAAACCCATCCCTCTGCAGGAGTCCTCAAACTTTTTTAACAGGGAGCCAGTTCATTGTCCCTCAGACCGTTGGAGAGTGTGCACTGTGGGCCCGGGACGAGTCAGCTGCTAAGCAGGACAGGCAGTGGCAGCAAAAACACCTGGAGGGCCGGATAAATGTGCTAGGTGGCCTGCATGTGGCCTGTGGGCCATAGTTTGAGGACACCTGCTCTAGAGCCTCTAAGAAATCTACGCTCAAGACCTGCTCAGAGTCACACCAATCCCCAGGCCATTGGCCCATAGTCCTACATCTCAAATCCCACTTGTCCTTTAGGGCCATCGCCTCCTTCAGGAACCTTCCCTAAAGCCTGCAGGCTGGGATGGTCACACTGTCCTGTCAGTTCCCAGCCTGGAGTTGTAACTCATCCGTTCACAGTTCTGTCTCCCCAGCCAGGCTCTGCCTCTGCGTGCAGATACCCACGGCTTAGACCAGGTGGGTGCTCAGTACATGTGTCCAAAGAAGAAAGGAAGGAAGGGAAGGAGCTAATTTCTGAACAACAGATAGATAGATACTTAGATATTTAACACTTGCAAAGGGTATATTCAGAAATCCTCATAAATCTAGATATTTGAAAATAGCAATCTAAAATA